GAGGTTCGAGTCCAACTGGAGGACCTTGACCTGTGCTTTTGGGTTTAAGGTTTATATTAGGGTTTAGGGGTTCTTTAGGGTTTCGGGTTTAAGGTTTAGGGTTTAGGGTTTAGGGGTTTAGGGTTGAGGGGGTTGGGGTTTAGGGGTTTAGGGGTTAGGGGTTTAGGGGTTTAGGGTTTAGGGGTTTAGGGTTTAGGGGTTTAGGGTTTAGGGGTTTGGGGGTTTGGGGTTTCGGATTTCGGGCTTTGAGGTTTAGGGCTTTGGGGGTTTAGGGTTTAGGGTTTAGGGGTTTAGGGTTTGGGGTTTAGGGTTTAGGGGTTCAGGTTTAGGGGTTTAGGTTTAGGGTTTAGGGTTTAGGGTTCAGGGTTTAGGGTTTAGGGTTTAGGGTTTAGAGGTGCAGCATTTAGGAGGTGAGAAAGGGCCCTGCCCGACGACAAGATAGAGGGTCTAAGCTTGAGGAGGTGGGCTTTCGGTGCTTAGGGTTGTTTAGGGTTTCGGGGTTTCGGGTTTTCGGGGTTTAGGGGTTTAGGGACTAGGGTATAAGGTTTAGTGTTGGGGTTTCGCGTTTGAGATTTAGGATTTCGGGCTTGGACATTTGGTTCGAGGTTGCGGTTTCGGGTTTAGGATTTCGGGCTGGGATTCAAGTTTTGAGCGGGTTACTGAAACTTAGGAACTGGCAAAAAAATGAGGCACTGAGCAACTGGCTTGCCCGATAAGGAATGCGCACCAAGCAAGCCGCCCAGCGCACGGATCACGACCTGTCGTGCTACGAAAGACCCTTAAAACCCCTATCCTTCCACTTCCACCCCAAACCGTTAGCCCCCAAGTCCTGAACCCGGGATTTCAACCCCTGAACAATGACCCGCTCTCATTTTTGAGGACATTGATATTGACATCCCTATTCGGAACAGAAGACTGAACCCTGGCATTACGGCAATGGGTTCAGATACCTAGCAGCCCCGCATCTCGACGCTTTCCAATTAGGACTTCTCCTTCCCCTAAACCCTAAGCCCTAAACCCTAAACCATTACCATCCCAGCGAAACGAAAGCTGCTCGCCTCCCCAAGCGTAGGGCCCTAGGGGTTTGGGTGCCAAAGTGCCAAAGAGTGCCCTAAACCCTTCGGCGTCAGAACCCTTAAACTGAGACTGCTGACTGCTTGCAACTCTGATATGAAAGCTGCAAAACGGGTCGCGGGTTCAATGCATGCCAGAGTGGGTGTTGCAACGGTCTCGGAGTCTGCAAGCAAAGCCATGCCATACTGCGTAAAGTAAGAACCTGATTGAGACAACTTGGTGCTATAGCCCCAACTATTCGGATCCACATGAAGAACCCTAATAAAAACCCAGGGTTTCTTAATCAGGTTCCTATACCCCTGAACCTTATAGTACCCTTATAGAGCCTCTTCAAAACGGATCCCTATAGGATCCTTTTTAATGGACCATCCCAAGTTCCCATATCTGCGTGCCTCGAAGACGGATATCTCTCGGTCTGCTGTGTCGAAATCCAGGTCTCTCTCCACGAAAGCCAATCCTGCCAAGCGGCTGCTATGGGGTTTTTTAGGGCTTTAGGGGTTTAGGGCGTTTCTTTCTTGAACCGTGTAGATAGAACCCTGGAGCCTTTCTCCTGCAGCCTTTTGACCCACGGCATCACCAGAGCCCAAAGCCTCCAACCCTCAAAGCCCCGAAAACCAAGAGCTGAATTCAAGCCCGCCCTCCCCTGAACCCTGAACCCGAAACCCGAAGTTAAGCTAAACCCTAAATCCTGAACCCTAAGCCCTATATAAGCCCAATACCCTTCTCCTTCGTCGAACTCGCTCTTGAGGCCCATGATCCACAAAGTCGTCAGAGAGTCGATAATGGTCATGCCGATGTCTCCGAAAGTGTCCTTTCCTAGCACGGTTTAGTGTTCAGTGGGATCCTTCAGGGAGGGGAACCACAGGAGCTCACCCCACGGTTCTGTTAAATGGAATATTCTGAAGTGAAGGTGCGCAATGCAGTTTTAAATGCTGAGCTTTGAGGGCGTTAAAGTTTCAGAGCTGGGGGTCGGGGTCAACAATCTTGGGACGTGGGCTTGGGCTTCAAGCTATACCCCATGGTCTTTGTTGCGTTAATGCATTTCCCAGGGTGAAAAGGAAAATGCAGCCCGAAAAAGCAACAGTTAACTGACAGGTTCAGCAACACCCACACACACACACGCACACGCACGCACACATTGCGCCATACGTATGCATATATGTGCACATGCACGTATGTATGTATGGATGTGTAGATGTATCTATGCACACACACACACACACACACACACATAGGCACGGAGATGCCTAAGTACCTAGATACATAGCCAGACAAACAGACAGACAGGCAGGCAGGCAGGCAGGCCGGCAGGTAGGCAGACAGAGACACCGATAGACAGGTAGACAAACAGATGGATGCATGGATGCATGGGTGGAGAAAGGAAACATGAACAAGTAGACAGACAGATAGGCAAACTGATAGACCAAGGCAGATGCCTAGATGGTTAGATGGCTAAGTAGATAGCTAAATGAATGAACAGGTAGATAACAGACAGATAGACGGATAGACTTGGTTGTGGCCTCGGCCTCTTTGTCTGTGAAGGGCTGCAACTCGGTTAACGACAGGGGATATCTGTGGGAAAGCAGTCACGGGCCTACATTCCCGGATTCTTGGGGAATTAGCTTTAGGCTTTAACATGATCCTGGATTTTGCATCCTTGATATTTGGGCCATGACCTGAAGCTGCTGTTGGGGCTGTTTTTATTGGCCCGCACACAGGGTTCTCTGTCATTTTTCGCGCCGAGCACGCTTCGCCAACCTCCATGTCGCCTGTGCAGCCGTCAGCTCGCTCTGCAAGTTGGCTGGCAGATCGCGCGCCGACAAGCCTAATTCCTTCTGCAGATACTTCATCAGCTCGGAGTTCGCTCTTCACATGTAGTACCATGAGCAATGCCATAGCACAACCCACAGTTTCGGCGCTCTGCCTGCAAACATCCTTCCAATCAGAGATGCTTTGATCGGGTCCCATGTTTGTTTGTATCGCAGGCATTTTTCTCAGGATAAGACTAGGACAACCAATTTCGGGCAGAGCACCGACAGGAATGGACCCCGACCTCCAAAATAATGAGTCCAAAGTCACAGTCGAACAACATGTTTATTTGGGTGATCCTCTCTATGCTTTCGTGGACCTTAAGCAGTTGCTTGAGGTACGCGACGTCCTGCATGCGGTCCGTGATCTCAAAGCATTGAGCCGCGAGGTCGGGTGGCAGGCACGTAGATTGTAGATGTTGCAGACAGCTTACGCAGCATCACCAGTCTGCTTTGAGTCCTTCCGTGAGGACTCCAAGGTTGTGAAATCACCTTCTGAATCTGGCTGCCGCAAGAGTTCACCAACAGCCGCTGTAGGTGCACACGCAGCACAGCCTGGAGCATGCACCTGTACCTGTCCAACATTCGCTGTGAGGGTTTTAGCTTTCGCTGTTGCGATTGCAGCCATTCTCGCAGAAGCCTCTGCACCTCTTCCAAAAAGAGAGAAGTTTCAAGACCGTGTGATGGCGGCATGGCTTGCAAAACATCCTTCGGAAGGGCTCTGACCTTCACATTTTGTGCGCAAAATTCCTCCATCTCCTGGGGCGAAGCTTTTACGGAACTCCGGACAACTGTTGGTATTGACATTTAGATGCGCTACGCAAGTACTATAGTCACTACAAGGGCTCACGAGTTGCGGGGGGAGGATTGGGATTGCCGTATGTTCCCTACCAAAGCCAAAGCCTTTCAAACTTCAGGCCCTGCCAGGTTCTAAAAGTAACTTGATTTCAGTATCTTCAACATTGAGCCCTACTTCCCCACCGAAAGTACCAGATGCCCAAACAAGGTCCACATCACCCCATCTCTTCTAGCTCTGGCTCGAACTCCTCCTCCTGTCAGAAGTGTTTGTTTAATTAGGACATTGGCTCAGGGCGTCCTCCAACATGAACGCGAGAGCTCTCTTGGAGCGGACGCTCAGGCAGCTGTGAGCAGGACGTGGCATCGGCCTTCCTTGTCCGGCCTGCTCTTGGCATGTCGGGCTACCACCTTGTGACATTATCTGCGAAAGGATCGCCTGTGCTCAAGGTTTACACAGGGGCACGATGGGGCAAGCCTGTGCTTGCCGCAAAATTAAGAGATAACTGCCAGAAACCCTGCTTGGACTCAACTGGCTGCCGACTTGAAGACCGGATCCCTTGACACATGTCACTGTAGGAGTTTTGCTGCGCAGCACAGCTTGCCAGATGTAAAAGGACACGGTACCTCCTTGAAACTCAATGGGATCCTCCCGGCCATCCCGAGTGGAGCAGGTTCTTGCGACGATATAGGCTGCGCAAAAAATGCAACACAATGGATCGCTCGCAAAGGCCCGTGAAGCCGTCGACGTCTCCACGCTTTCTTTGGCAGCAGCATGCTTTTCATGGTCATGGATTTGAGGCCTTGGGCGGACCGCTGCAGCTCCGAGCTCCCTGGCCTGATGGCCCTGCTGCACATGGTCGGCGAAAGACTTTCTCTTCGGCGGCATGGCAGCAGTCAAAAACTAAGCTTCCACGCCCGTCCTCTTCAGCACATGCCAAAACAACCGAGTTTTGTGAAAACTGGCCTGGTTTTCTATCCTGGCTGTGCATCTCAGGATTAATAATCCAAGTTGTTCGTGCTGCGCAAAAGTTATTTGGGAAACCCCAGCCCGAGCGGCCCTCTCAAGGAGCCACATCACTGTTTTTGCTTGCCAAAGACAGCAAATGGCTGCGGAAACCATCGGGGCCTGCAGACTGCGGGAGCACACACGCACACATGCATGTGTTTGTGTGTGTGTGCACATACATTTATACAGATATATATATATACAGATATACTTGCATGTGCGCATATCTCTCCATATATGTATATATATATATATGTGTATATATATATATACAGACAGAGAGATTCATGACATGCGCACCAAGGAGGAGGGAGGAGACGAAAGGTCATGGTGCAAGCACCAAACCCTAAACCTCAAAGCCCTAAAGCCCTAAACCCTAAAGCCCTAAAGCCCTAGACCCTAAAGCCCTAAACTCTAAACCCTTAACCCTAAACCCTAAACCCTAAAGCCCTCAAGCCCTAAAACCCTAAGCCCTAAACCCAAAACCAAACACCCTCCGAACCGTTAGTCCGAAGAACTCAACACCTGAAGCCATGAGCCCTTAACGATCAACCCCAAACCCCCCATGCTGGGCTTAGGGTGTAGGGTTTATGGTGTAGGGTGTAGGGTTTAGGGTTTAGGTTTGTAGGGTTTGTAGGGTTTGGGGTTTTAGGGTTTGGGGCTTTAGGTTTAGAGTTCTAGGGTCTCGGCTGTAGGGCTTTAGGGTTTTAGGGTGTGCGATTTGGGGTTTGGGGTTTTAGGGTTCCCTTTGCTCTAGACGTCACCCTGAAGCCCAGGCTAGAGCCTTCAAGCGAGATCGGCTTCAGCTCATCAGATCCCCACGCATTGCCTGATTCGTGTAGAGGTTTACGGTTTAAGGTGGTTTTGGGCTTGTGGGTTAGAGTTTAGGGAAACTTCTGGAGCTTGGAGCTTGTGGTTTAGGAGAGTTCAGGCCGGAAGGTAACAAGTCCATGCTGCAAGCTCGTTTCGGGTTTATGACTTCCTGATCGATGACATTGTGTTCCTTTCGATTGCCGGTCTTTCCGTATGGCTCTGCCAAAACTAAGCACTTCGGAAACTAGCTAGAAATGAGGGTTCTACCCTTCAAAAACTGAGTTCACACTAAGCCTTTAGAAAAAGAACTGACGCTTTTCCCCGCCAAAACCGACGAAGGGGCGATCTCTGCCTCCACAAAGTCTCACCATTTGAGATTGTCATAGAGATAAGGAGCCCTTATTACAGATCCTAAAGCATAGGATTTTCAAGCACAAGCTGGCCGCCACACTGTGTTGAGAGTTTAGAGTTTAGGCTTAAAGCTCAGCGCTTTTGAGGGCGAGTCCGAAGATTTGAGTTTTGTGCGTGCAAACCGGGAAAGTTCTGTGGTGCTTCAAGCCTCCAACCTCCCATATCCTAGGCGCACTCCCAAAGCGGATCTCCGAATGAGAACAAATATATCAAGTCCAGAGTTTAGAGACCGTGGGAGTAGGATGTATTTTTTGGGTGTGTTGGGATTGGGGTATACTGTAAGCGCTAAACCCTAAACCCTAAACCCTAAACCCTAAACCCTAAACCCTAAACCCTAAACCCTAATCTAGGGAGCCGCAAAATCCCAAACTTCAGAGGCAAGGTGCGTTTGTATCCGGACCAGGCATGCAGGAAGGCCTCCCGCACTTCGTCAGCCAAGTCCTGCCACGTAGAGCATCAGGGAGCGTTGGAAGTAATCTACTCTTCGGGCCTGAAGAAATAGAAGGTAGATTTCGGTTTAGGGTTTAGGGTTTAGGGTTTAGGGTTTAGGGTTTAAGGTTTAGGGTTTAGGGTTTAGGGTTTAGGGTGTAGGGTTTAGGGTTTAGGGTTTAGGGATCTGGTTTGGGAGTATGGTCGGGTAGAACTATTCAGACCTCTGATGATGCATTTCTATGAAAGGCAACTATAGTGACAGGTACTGATAGGCCTACCCGGGAGCTTTGGAAAATCAGGAAGCCACAGTCACAATGCTGGGTTTTGGGTTTTTGGGCTTCGGAGAATCAGGAAGACAGCAGGACTCTTGACCCTAAACCCTCTAAACCCTAAACCCTCTTATTCTAAGGACCCCTTCTGAAAAGGCGCCCCGAAGCTTTGGAAGATTCCTCAACCCGAAACCCTAAACGCCTACACCCTGAACCCTAAATCTCCAAACCCTAAAAAGCCTAAAACTCTAAACCCTAAAACCCTAAAACCCTAAACCCCAAACCCCTAAACCCCAAACCCTAAAACTCTAAACCCTGAAACCCTAAAACCCTAAACCCTGAACCCTAAACCCTCAACCCTTAAACGCTAAAGACCATGAACCTCCAAGCCGACTCCTACGGATGGCGGGGAGGGTTGGATCTTAGACACACTGCTCATGGTCTAAATCCTGCATTACCTTAAGGGACCCTAAGCTATGGGAATTCTGGTACATTCCTTCTTATGGGTAATGCAGG